CTGGAGGAAGAAAATAAAGCCTTCAGCCTCTTCCCGTCTCACATATGCGTATGTATGTATACATGCATGTGTGTATGTTTATCTTTCCTTCATTTATATATTATATATGTATATATATATATATATATATATATATATATATATATATATATATATATATATATATATATACACTCCACACACACACACACACATGTGTGTATGTATGTGTGTGTGTGTATACATATATTTATGCATATATTTGTATATATATATATATATATATATATATATATATATATATATGTATATATATATATATATATATATATATATATAAATATATGTATATAAATATTATATATATATATATATATATATATATATATATAATATATATATTATATATATATATATATATATATATATATATATATATATATATATATATATATATATATACATATACATACCACACACACACACATATATGTGTGGTGTGTGTGTGTGTGTGTGTGTGTGTGTGTGTGTGTGTGTGTGTGTGTGCGCAACAGTTTAAATCTGCTGTTAGAAAGCTCTTCCAAACTGAGTTTAGAATGAAAACAGTGCTCTTCGACCGTCCCCAGGATGGCCGCAATACAATAGTAAGTAACTAGAATTTATCTTCTGAAGAATAGTATATCTATAACCCAGTTCATGTTTCTGTCCACGGCTTCTTAGCATGTAATAATATTTATTAGCGACAAAATCAGTAATTTACTAAGAGAATTTAATCGATATCACTCATTTCTGTTGGCCATGTTGGAGGTTTGTATACAATTCTGACGCCATGTAGCAAGCTTCCCCTGGAGGCAGTCTGCAAATGCTTGGTTTGGGTACGAAACCAAGCCAAGATATCTCACCAAGAAGTTCCGTCAGGAACAGGAATGAACAAGAATTTTTAAGATTTTTCAAGAAATCTTGAAATATCTTGCCGTCAAAATGCATCAATATATATATATATATATATATAATATATATATATATATATATATATATATATATATATATATATATATATATATATAATATAATATATATATATATTAATTCCTTCAAAATGCCAGGTCGTGAAACACCCAGAAATCATCCAGATTACCGACTCATACATTTGATATTTGGCCACATTTATTTGACAATGAATTTGTGTTATTCTTTGGCCCGTAAATCCCGGAAGCGATTTATCACAGGCTGGGTTAAATTTGTGTCACGCTTTCCACAACCGCAATTTGGGTCTGTTAACAAATTGTGGTGCCAGGCATTTCGGCGTTTCTGACGCTAAGAGTTATTAATGGGAGGATCGGCTCCGCAGAGCTTTAGCGGGCGAGTCGCTCGGGCGGCAAGGGGCGTGGCGACGCCTCTCGCGTCTTTGCCAGAACTTCTTTCCTTCTGCCCGCTTGCCTACCTGCCCACCTGTCCACCTGACTACCTAACTACTTGCTTACCTTTCTGTCTACCCCTACTTACCTACCTTTCCAAATACATATATACATGCTTACATACATACATACATGCATTCATGATACATAAATACATACTTATACACACATACACACATCATGACATATACATAAAGATATACATACACGTGCATACATGTATATGTATATACCTATATATAAACAGTTCATACCTATATACAAGCATACGTACATAAATGCACGCACACATACACAACCACGCGCGCGCGCATACATACTAACATGAATATATTTTCACACAATACGTATTTCCAAACATACAGACGTAGACACACAGATATATGTATATTGACCAATAAATATGCAGAGGTTTATGTAAGTAAATACATACTTTATAGTCCATCAAATACAATCCTAATCTCAAACACGAGGGTAAATCCACGTGCGACACTAGCTATTAAACTAGGTATAACTAAGAGCGGTCAGACGCGAACCTGTCAGTCTAATGTATGAATTAGAAACCTGCAAAACGCCAAACTCAGCTTAGAGTAAAACTTGCAAATGTAAAACTTTGTTATTAATATCCTTAAAGACATGCTTAATACAAAACATGCAAATGAAAGCAGCAAAACAGCGAACTAAAGCATTCAAACGTAATCCTGGAAAACACTGAATACCAAACAGCCTGAAAACATAATAGTATAAAGCAGTATATAACATTCACCATAGTATAAAGCATTTTAGTATACAATGGTAAGACGCTGAATATTCGCATACATTTATTTCATGCTTATTTAACTCTGTATCAGCTCGACAGCGTGTTACGTACCATGAACCAATGATTACTAATATTTCCTAAGAAATAAATAAAGAAAAGTGTGCATTGCCTCACATACAGTATCACAATGCAGACATTCAGCGAATTATTTCTCTGAGGTTGTGGTACTGAAATGTTGACGCAGATGCCACGAAACGTGCCAGTCCCCAAAGACAGCCTCCCGTGCGACTGGGGCACAGGCGCTCTCCACGAGAGTCTCGCAGAGGCCAGGTCACAGGCCACGCTTGCCGGCGCCTTGGCAAGCGCCATGGCTCTTCAGGTCTTGCCATCGCTTAAATGTTGATTACCGATCTCAAGGACATCATATCTCCGTTCCATCCCATCCATTGCCAATCCATCCCAACGCCATCCATCCATCCACCTTCCATCCCCATCCATTCTACCACTTCATATCCACCCACCCTTCCATTTCCATCCATCCATCTTTCCATCCATCCATCGCATCCATCCATCCATTGCATCATCCAACCATCCACCCTTCCATCCATCTATCCACCACCCTCCATCATCCATCGCTATCCACCCATCCACCCTTCCATCATCCATCTATCATCCACCCCTTCCATCCATCCATCACCTTCCATTCATCCATCCATCATCAATCCATCCATCCATCCCACCCTCCCATCCACCATCCATCCATACCACCCACCCATCCATCCATCATCCATCCCACTTCCATCTATCCATCCATCCATCCACCCATCCATCCAATCCCATCCCCACCCATTCCACCCTTCCATTCATCCATCCCTCACCCCATCCATTATTCATCCATTCATCCATCCACCCTTCCAACCATCCATTCCAATCCATCCATCCATCCAATCCATCTATCCACCTATCCATCCATCCATCCACCCTTCCATCCCCCATCCATCCATCCCCCACCCTTCCATCCACCTATCCACCCATCCATGCATCCATCCCCCTTCCATTCATCCACCATCCATCCATCCACCTTATCCACCCATCCACCATCCACCCTTGCATCCATCCACCCTTCCATTCATCCACCCATCCATCTATCCACCCCATCTATCCATCCATCCATCCATCATCATCCAACCATCCCCATTCCATCCACCCTTCCATCCCATCCATCCATATATACATAGACACACATAGAAGACACACCTAAACTTGGTCATTGTAATCAAAGTGAACTTGAATTTATCTCGATAAAGGAGGGGAGGATCATCTTTGAGGATTAGGGAATGGGACCATAACTGGTAGACATATATCTGTTTTTATTTATGATTATGTAGCTAAATACAACTTGGACTTTTATCAAACCTGCTTCTAGTGAGAAGTCTTTCCTCGACTTGTTTTGGGAAATGGAATAAGAGGCGTGGAATTATGGAGATCCCATGACCCTTATCTTGTACTCCCGAAAAGGTCGGGGACTAATGTTAGATGAGCACTCGGCTGCCAAACTAAAAACAATGAAAATTTAAACGCATGGATTCTTAAAGTACTAGAAATTAATATCCAAGGCACAAAAGATATTATAAAATGAAGGATTTTACCAGAGCGCTAGAAGGGGAAGCCTAAGTGAATTGGTCTTGGCCGTAATTACCTCACAATTATAATTGTTGATCATTGTAGGAACGGCAAGACATATACAAGCACACATACATACATACATACATATATATACCTACATAAAGTAGGGAAGACTCCAATATAGTTTGTGTTTTCATATTACCAATATTTATAAGGAAGAAAATCGAAAATATACCAAGAAAGTAAACCCATGAAAAAAACAATCGCTTTCGCAGTTCTTGCGTCAGTAAGAGGCCATTTTAAAAGAAAAGATGAACTTTGACCTTCTGAGCCTGTGTGGCAGAACTCTAGATAATAAGGAAAAAAACAACTATAATGAAATGCCACTGAGAAAGTAAGAAATGGTGAGCACAAATGGCATTCTCGTACATGCTTTTGCATACCGAGGGTACAGTGAGGTACATAATCTCAAAGGTTTTGAGCTTATGACAACATCAACGCCCCACTCGACTGGCATAAAACATCCTAACATGTTTGGTGTGCAAACGGTCAAACATGTTGCGCATGAGCGCACATACGGACATTAGCATCCCACAAAACAGGTAACATCACAGGAGCATAAACATGAGAGTAGTAAAACGGTTTCTTTTGCCGTTAGAGCAAAGCTGAGCGAAGTTTTCCTTCACTTGTGAAAGGAGGAGAAAGGGAGAAAAAATATATAACCGCAGAGAGGCGAAACATTATGGAATGAGAAATAAGTATATATATATATATATATATATATATATATATATATATATATATATATATATATATATATATATACACATACACACACACACAAATATATATATATATATATATATATATATATATATATATATATATATATATATATATATATATATATATATATATATATATATATATATATATATATATATATATATATATATATATATATATATATATATATATATATATATATATATATATATATATATATATATATATATATATATATATATATATATATATACAGCGATGAGGAGAATATGACATTGAATATGCATGTGTTTTTTCCGGTGGGAGGGGGCCCTTTCGAAGGGAACCGTGGGCAAGAATCAAGGTGGGCGAATGCGCGCGAAGACGGATCATATTCTACGATCCATTAGAATATCGACCTGTTTTCTCAGCCCCCCCCCCCTTGATGACGT